TAGGTATGGCAGTACTACTGCAGCTGATAGTGTCTGTCGTAAATTTTAATAAGTTGCTTCAACGCTATCACTAATCACTGGGTATGTATACAATTATATGTGTGATGGAGGAGATCTTGCGTCGCTAGTTTTCTCAATAATCTGAATACATGTATGTAGCGTGAAACCGGCAGATACCTATAGAAGAAAGTGTTTGCCCTACCTGCAACAACGATGTCCCGTGTCTATAGAAGGGATATAATATGGGGATGAATGGCATGTACTTTTATCTTGGCCCGTTTATGAAGATAAATACTGCGATCTTTCACAATAATCTCTCTGGCTATCAGATTGAGGGTACTTTTTAAACATAACTGGTATTTCAATTATTGTATTTATACAGTAACATTCTTCAAACGTTCTCTACATACCTCCGTCAGATACATCGCGCACTACCCCTTTCTCTTTTGATCTCTCAAACGACTGTTACAAGTTCGGAGAATCCTGGTCAAAGTTGAAACGTCTTAAGACTATTCCCTACTATTCTGTAACATGCACATTGTACCTAAAATGGGTAGAGCTTCCGTTCGGGGGAATATCATCAGGACAGCGATACACTTGTCTCCAATGTTGTAGAAGAAACTCCACTTACTTAGGAAAACAATAACCCAATGAGATATTGCATTCATGTCGGATTCAATTTTTTCGGCGCCTATCAGATGTGAACATTAACATGCAAGGTCTGCGTCTATGTCAGACTAAAGGTCTACGGGTTGTTTAGCAGCACTGGGGCGTAATAGTCATATAGGCCTGCTCCAAACAACGGAATATATATCTTTTGAGAAGGACTTCTCCGACGGGTAAAGGTACAGCAATGCAACATTACGAAAAATCTAACTTAGTCGAATTAAGTCAAAATGAGCTGAAATTTGTGTCATGATGCTTATAAACATACACTCATTCATTTACAACCTCCAAAACATGAATTCTGAGCGAAATTAAACATTCTCGCCCATGGGCCAACATATTTTTTCGCCCATGGGCGAGATTTTTTAATATCGCCCTAAGTTAGTCGAATTAAGTCAAAATGAGTTGAATTTTGTGTCTTGATGCTTATAAACATGCACTCATTCATTTACAACCTCCAAAACATGAATTCTGAGCAAACTTAAACATTCTCGCCCATGGGCCGGCCCATGCGCGAGCGAGTTTAAATCTAAAGTTTTCGAAAAAAAATAATTCATTTTTCATCCTTGGCATAAATTTGGTCAAATCACTTGTCAGAAAGTACCCACAGTGCGGAGAGTTTCTGGACTTTTGTGAGTCCAGAATTAAATTGTGACGTGTTAATGACATTTGTTATACTGTTAACACAGCATGGCTAACAGGTTGCAAAGTCTTGCCGCCATCAGTAACATTTGAAACAGATACAAAATATTCATTTAAGCTTTATCCAAATCTGTAAAAACTGAAGGTATCCCAGAATCATCAGTGACAAGAAGGGGAGTGGGCCCCGATGAAGTACTAACCACCTGATTGAGTAGACTGAGGTGATAAATAGTTATCAAAATTAGAATAAAAGTTTCCCTTGGCTATTCTTTTCAGATTATTTACTTTATTCCTTTGCTTTTTGTTTTTTAAATAGCTCAGAAGTATTCAGAGATCGAAATGCTTTTTTGCTTAGACGTTCTCATTTCTTTTAAGTATGTTACGAGGGGAGTTGAAAAAGTAGTCAAACTAACTACAGTATATTCTCGATGTCAAATGTTTGAAAAGAAGCTTCCATTTTATTTTGAAGGAATCATTAGCAAAGTCATATCCAAAATTTCATGTGGGTAATGTGGTTAACGAGATATTAGTCATCACAACATTGGGGTATTATGTTTCTTGCAAATTTGCAGAAAATGGAAAACGATCTCCCATTTGGTATCTAGTAATAGTAATAGTCCACTTATATGGCGCTCACATCCAGGCACATTACCTGCTCACGGCGCTACGTACATTACTATCCCCGATCATAGGACACTATCGTAGTTTCCGATACTTTTTCAACTCCCTGGGGACTGTACAGCCATGCTGCATGTTAGGCGCAATAAACTAAACACTCACATTGCCAGCACATACTCACGGGTACCCATTTTACAGCTGGGTGAACTGAGACAGTGTCGATCTAAGTATCATGTCCAAGGATACTACGCAAATGTGCCCATCTCGGGAACCGAACCTCGGTGCCTCCTCGAAACAGGGCCTTCAGCGTGATAGGCAGACGCCTTACAACTGCACTATTGCGCTATCTCTTGGATAATGGTATACCCTCAGATAGTATCATATAAAATATGTTCAGCATAGTATTGGATGACTTCCCGTCATCATCAGCAATCAAAGATTTGGATTGCTTGATTTACATTTAGACGGGGACTGTTTTTTTTAGGACACCCTCATTTAAAATTTTCAAAAACATTGTGTCCAGATATACAACATAATGAGAGCTGACACTTGTGTGACCATTCAGTATTTAGTTTGAACCCTTGACACCATGTATGAATAAGTGAAAACTTTAGGATGAGTTATATCCTTATGATGACGTCAACTGAAAGGGGGTGGGTACTGTCTCCAAAACAAGCCCTTTCAGTAACATGAAGGGGGAGTCACTTGAACAAGCGATTATAGTTTAAAATTGCTTTTTTGTGCAGTTTAATATCTATGTTTGACTTTTACCAACATGCAACATGTTTTTGCATATTTTGTTTCAATTGGTGTAGGGGGATTCCCGCCAATACACCTTGATATAAAATTGGATCAAAATCTATTAATTCTTTCCTAAGTTCGCGGCTACCAAGCTTGGCATGTGCAAAACTGTTACACCTTCGCTGTGACATTTAAAATGACCTCAAGGTCACTAAATTCAAGTGGTGTCGGTGAATCTCGCCAATATACCTTGGTACCAAATTTGAACAAAATCCATCATTTCTTTCTTGAGTTATCGCCCTAACAAGCTTATTTGATGTATGAAATGCAACGAAAAACAAACACCCGCGTATTTACGAGTGATTAAAACTGCTATTACAATTTACGTAAATATTTATTACATTTTACCGCAACGAAATTTTTACAATTTCCGTCAATTTTTATTACAATTTTGTATTACAATTTGCGTATTACAAAACGTTTACATCACGTTTCCGGACGGCAGTGTTTATTCGCGTTTTACATCGAGGTTTGTATACGTTTCCGGACGGCAGTGTTTATTCGCGCTACATCGAGGTGTATAGCGTCATACAATCACTTAGATGATTGCATGTGTTTCAAATAAAGTTGTCAGTAATATCTTAGTGACCTGTTTTACAAATGTCCACGTGATAATCGAGACATGGGACGTTTAAGCTCCCGGATATCCATACTGCAACGATGATATTTTACGGCCGTTTCATAAGGTACAGGGAAGTTACAGTGGGACAAAACTGTTGGTTTTGCCGCAAACTTTTCATTCAGTTCAAAGAACAGATAAAATTACTTTACCTCGGATTTAGTTAATAATATATTCACTCTGGGTCGGTCGTTGTAAGGTTTCATTTATAAAGGGTGACACGTGAGTAAGCGTTGGCTGCACGTGGTTGTTTCCTAACCGGCTGTGCGATTGAATCCACGTAAAATGATGGTCTTGGATGGTGTTCCAATCACTTAGGTATTTCTGGCATTTCAACGGCTTTATTGAACAAACTGTGGATAACAACTTATTCTATTTCGTGAGTGCGACGTTTCGATACAGACTCTTGTACCGTTGTCAAGCAGGAATGGAACATGAAGAGAAGGGGGTGTATATATACTGAATATAACAAAAACCACATAATTAAAGCATATATCCCATTCTCTTTATTTTCCCTTTCTGCTTGACATAGGTACAATGATCTGTATCGAAACGTCGCACTCACGAAATAAAAGTTGTTATCCATAACGTTTGTTCAATATTGTACTTCCAGCTTATAAAATGTCACTCAGAGATGTTATTTCTAAGGCATATAAGTTGGATGAAATACTCGGCTCTGGGCTCTCTAATGGATGTATACACCACAGGCCCTCGTGTCTTTGCGAGGATTAAAGATTCTTAAATATATAAAATTTGAGATGACCCCCGACTCGAAACGCCTTACAGTACAATACATTAGGACAAGGCTGGACACTTCGGTGTACCCCACCCGCCAGCTTTACCGATCGCTACGCTGCCATCGCATGCAATCAATTAAGACTTAATGTAAACATAATCATGGATGATTGGCCTATCGATCACCACTCATGACACCTACCAATTCTTTATTGTTATTTCTGCAAGTCGATTGAAACCCGATTTTGACCCTCAACTAAATGATCATGACACAAATGGATGAGGATATTTCCGGACAAAGTGGGTGTGTGGTTGAAGCAAGCCCTCTGGTTGGTTGATGCTTGTTAAGGAGACATTTACAACTGATACTCTCTTTTGAGAAGTCATTGCCCGAAAAATATTCTTACATTAAGCAGTCGATGAAGAGAAAAATTCCAGCGAATTTACAAAGAATGTGCAGATTTGCAAGAGGGTTGCTGAAGATCAATTCTAACCGGGATCTTCACGGGTACAAACAGCTGATAACTCGAGACTAGCGTTGGGGATTGGTTGAAGTCTTATGATCAGTGATTGGTTCATTACAACCGATCAATCATCGAAAATAATCAGTAAGCGTCATTCAAATTTTCGTATGCAAATTTCACATCTTTAATGTTGACTAGTATGTTAGGAACATAACTGTCCTGGAAGTCTTTAAGATAAGTTCAGTCATGACTTGGAAGAGCTTGTGGTGCTTATTAAATGTAACTAAAATGACAGACAAAACTAACCTTGTGAAAAATATTGTTAATGCGAACAAGCGTTCCAAAATTGTTTGTGTTTGATGATCAATTGCTTGGTGTTTAGTCACTGCGACCAATCTTCGATTTTTCAATTCTAAGACACCCACATTCTAAAACACATGAGATAACTAGAGGAATACTGGACATTGTTTATTTCTGACACCAATAGACGTGACTGTAAATGTATAGCACTTGACATCACAGGGAGCTGACCAATAGGTCATGATAAAGATCAAACAAAGGTACAGTGGAGAGTTACTTCCCTTGTATACTGATTTTGAATTGATGGAAATGTAACTGTTTCGCTGTGCTGACTGTTTTAAGGACAACAATTGTCCTGCTCCTTGGTTAAATAAATTAAAGTTGAGATTTACTCATAAACCCAAGAAGCTTGACAGCTGTTGTAATCGCAGAGTTCGCTGGGGCTGAACCAGAGCCCAATCTCCTTAATGGCACTCTCTACCGAATCGCTCCCGTGACAGATGTTCCTGGGAAGAAATAATAGATTGTCATCAATTGAGAGATAAAACATGACAGAAACATTGATAAAATTTTACTCTACGGCCAACCAAAATAATATGTAAATAAGCGAGTTCAGTTTTACACCTCTTTTAGCAATATTCCAGCGGGGAACTCCAGAAATGGGTAATATTTGTCAAAGCATTTTGCTATCCCAGTAGAAACAGAAGCTGATGTCCTTTTTTGTTTTAATTCATACTTCCTCTTCTGACTTTCCAACTTTGACAAATCAAAGCTGTGATCCAACAACTTCACCAAATCAGGCGAAAGGGGTTGCTCAAATCAGAGTTATTAAATTGGAACATGATTGTCAGTTTGGTCCAGTCTAAGTAAACTTGGGCTCAGTATTATTCATTACACTGCTATACTGAGTCTAACAAAACCTAGAAGGAGGTCGCGTCAGCTAGCCTTTGAGCAACCTATGACAGTCCAATCAAACGCGAGACGGACGAACAGATTTATCCAATCAGACAACGACTACTTGTTAGGGTTCGGCGGGACTTACAAAACGTTTTTTGGATTTTCTCTTCCCTGGTCGCCGACTCTGATCTATCAAGCGAAAATCCGCATAAAACAGATATTTAACCTGCAGTATATATGCTTATGGGTTTCTAATGACATGGTTACTAGTTGCTTATATTTTCACAAGATGACATCCTTGAATATTGACATTTAAAACACAAGATATTTTTTTTAAACAGCTTTTTAATTTCTCTCTGTTTACTCCCTTCATCAGGCGAACTTTATCTTATCCATGAATATTGACAAAACGCTATCATGCTGTTTACTCACTCCGTTTATCCTTTCGGAAAATAGCGGAAAATAGAATCGTTCGTGTTTTTTAGGTAAAGGTTCAAACGGTATGTGCGAATGTTAACTTTCGCGATTCAGTAAGCTGTGTTCTGATTGGTCAGTCCAAAGGTTAGCTGATGCGACCTTCTACTAGGTTTTGTTAGACTCAGTATAGCAGTGTAACGAATAATACTGAGCCTAAGTTTACTTAGACTGCTGGTGTTTGGTCCTATTTTACCCCTGAAAGACTTGTTCCCCAGAGTCAGTGAGTTGGGTTTGTTCCCTGGAACCCTACCTGCCAACGTCAATACAGAAGTCTCCTCTGATGGTGCCTGGTTCCGAGTCGATTGGGTTGGTGGCGCCAAGCATCTTACGGCCCATCTTTACTACATGCTTGCCTTCCCAAACCTGAAACACACAGCATATACATGTAACCCCTGCAATATCATCTGCAATGTGTCATTTTCTTTATGAACGTGAACAGTGTTCTGTGAGGAAGGTTGACTGGGTATATCTGGGGTGGTAGCGCAGCTCAGTGGTTTGAGTGTTCGCTCTTCACCCCTGATGCCCAGGTTCCAATTCACACCTGGGTACATGTGTATTTGGAATATCAGGCCATCCAGTGAATGATGTCAAAAGCATTGATGTTGACATAAAGCAGCCAGAAAACACATCTGACCACCAGTCAAAACAGGCTTTTGCTTAAATATCAAAGATACAATTGAGACAATGATATCATTTCATTTAACTTGCCTACTAGGCTGACAAAATAATACATCACTTTTATTGAAAAAGAAAGTCGAAAACCATGACAATCAAAATAATAACAGTTTATGTAAGATGTACACAGCTTTTAGTAACACGCCAGAAATGGATGTGTAACAATATCCCATGTGGGGAATCGAACCTGTCTTTGGCATGACCAGCAAACGCTTAAACCACAACTCTACCCCACTCTCCCCTTAGGTTAAGTAGTGAATATTTGTGGGCGAGTTTGTGAGGTTTAACACCGCTTTGGACAGTACACCAATCATATCACAGAATGTCAGCCAAGCCAGGGAGGAAAATCAAGAGTGATTAAAGGCTCAGATATTTCATGAAACCAGCATGAGTACACTGCTGAAAAACAAAGAAACGGGAGAACCAAGATATGAACCCACGATCACACGTTTCCTTAGATGTCTGGTCTACCTGTACCCATGGCTCCCCATTTCCTGTGCTTAGGGAAGGATGACTATGTGCGACAGCATGGCACCTGAGCTTTTCTAGGCTTTTGAACCTTCTCCATAATGAAACACAGGTTGTGGTGTCTCAATAAGCAAGAGTGAGTGAATTTGGTTTAACACCGTTTTAAGCAATATTCCAGCAATATGATGTCAGGGGACACCAGAAATGGCTTTCACACATTGTACCCATGTGTGGAATCGAACCCTGGTCTTTGGCGTGACAAACCAATGCTTTAACCACTAGGCTACCCCACCACCCCTATTAAGCAGGACACTGACATGGAAATATGCATTGTACCACCCTGCAGTGAATGGGTACCAGGTGGGATGAGATGGTAATGTGACTACTAGCATCTCACATTCGACCTTGGATGCTTATATACTACCCAAGGCAACTAAAAAGGAATGAAAAACGAGTGCACACCTATCCAAAGGCTGCTCAATAATAACATTGCACCAAAAGCCTTCACTAGATGAAATAAATGAACATATAATTATCAAATAAAAATGTATTACCATAGCAACAACAGGTCCAGATGCCATGTACTTGACAAGGCCAGCGAAGAATGGCTTGCTTGACAGATCTGCATAATGTTTTTCAAGGTGTTCCTTGGAAGCCTGAAACAGCAATTCAACAATAGCAGCTGGACAATGAGGACAATAACTATGCACTTACCTACAGTCTCAGTGTTTGACCAGTATACAGAAAACCTGCATATATCTGACTCAAAAACAACATGACCATGACTCCCTCTCATGACACAAGGAGTCATGGAGTCCTAAACTTTTATGCATGGATGCAGAACACCTGCTTATTTGACTCCCAAAAACATGTCCATGACTATCTCATGACACAAGGGAGTCATTATGACTCCTAAATTATTATGCCTTGGTCAAACACTGAGTCTGTCTTCAACTGACAACAATGAATTGCACAATAACTCAGAATTGTGAATACTCTATTAAATATCAATATAAGACAGCAATGAATACCCAGTACCCTATAACCAACTGAGAATGATGTCTTTACTATTGGTAGCTTTCTCCTAGACCTTTAGTCCTTACTGGATATTAACGTCTCTAAAAGGTGAACTCGCTCATTCTTCACAATTCTGCTTGAAGGTTTGAAGATAATGATTTCAGAGAAAATGTTCACACAACACAAGCCTACTGCCTATCTTGTTGTACTTGTATCCAAACGTATTGTAAGTTACCAAAATTTGCGTTTTGAAATCATTAAATGATGCTCAGTTTTCAGGTATGTGTTCAAGTCTAAGCCACAGGCCCTTGTGTCTTTGCAAGGATTAAAGATTAAAAAGAATTTTGAGACAACTTTTGTCTTCAATTTGGAAACATTTTAACTTCTCTTGTACCACATATTACAAGATTGTTTCAAAAGAAAGGAAACAATAATTTCATTACAAACCATGTGTTACTTTCACAATATATTGCCCAAACACATATCCAATATAATAATACTGAAAATTTTGAAAACAGGGCCTATGGACATATTAAAAGAGTCTCTGACATTTATACAGGAATATGTGGCAAATAGAGGTCCTAATAATACATTGAAAACAGGTATATTTTGAGTCCTGACTTGAATGTGGCAATATTCTCCAAAATTATATGGGAGTGAATTCCAGGTTCATGGCCGGGATGGCTAAAATTGTAAAGATTCTCGGTTCAATGAGCGTAGCCTTAGCGGTACTTGCAATGCAATGTTATGGCTGAATGAACATGGCGCGCCTCACCCAGAGGCTCTGACAAATTACAAAGAAAAGAGGATTAACGTGGACACTCTTTAATTTGGGCACATATACAAATGTAAATAGAGCTATTTACACATCTTCATGTCTATTCTTCATTATATATCGTCTTTAATTCGATATTAAATTATCATTTTTCCATAGTTAAACACATTTCTGTCAATCTACTTAAGTGCAACTTAAAAATAACATTATAGCAATGCTTTGAAAATAAATTCTTATGAAACTTTATTCCAAAGTAAGTATAAGTATCAGACATGTTCAAATGTACATCACCAAGATAAAAATTGAAAATTAACTCTTGCAGTTCCAGAGGCAAATACAACTACTTTAGTATTATCGATATTTAATTTTAACTTCCACTTTGCACAATTCAGCGTCATTAGTACACAGTGAAAAAAAGGAGAGGTGATAAATTCTCCCTGTCTTACGCCTTTACAACACTCATAATAGGTGGAGTCATTTCCACCTATTGAAACACAAGACTTGGTATTATCATACATATTATAAATAACCTTTAAAACTTTCCCTGTAATCCTGTGTTTAACAATTTTTGCCAAAGTCCCACACGCCAGACATTATCAAAGGCTTTTTGAAAGTCTATAAAAAACACACTATATAACCTCTTCTTCTTAGATATAAGTATATCAATGAATCTATTTAAAACAAAAAAATTATCTAAAGTAGAGTACCCCTTTCGGAAGCCCGAACAGTAAACAAGATTAAAACAATGTCTTGAAAAGAAATCTATCTACTCATGGATTATGCCTAGTGACTATTATTCTAATGGGTTTTTATAACTAAATACATCTGAAATACAACCGCCACTTATATAAAGTTCTAACGTTTCTAAAATAAAAAGCGAAATTGGCTTAGCCAGAAACCGACGTTAAACCCCCTCCCAAATCTACTCCCAACATGGATTACGCTTCTCGGCACCGTATCTTTAGCTTTGGGTACTCCCCTACTCCCTTGTAAATTAGCTCTCCAGGGAAATCCGAAATATACATTTTAGCCTTCCCGGGACATCTGAAAAATAAATTTTAGCCTTTCCGGCACGACACCAACTTCCACAAGGTTGGGGCTGCATATCAAGAAGTCCGGTTTCCAAACGTTTTAAGCCTGAAGTGTGGCACAAACAGAAGCTCTTAATTAGATGATCGAAGGCAGCGTTTGTTCTAGTAAGGACTAAGCAGGTCAGAGAGATATGGGGGAGCAAGACCGTGACGGGCCATGTATGTCAAGCAGAAGATTTTGTAGTCACTTCTTGCCTTGATGGGGAGCCATTGTAGCTGTTTAAGAACAGGTGTGATGTGGGGATGTTTGGGAATCCGACTGATGATACGCATGGCCATGTTCTGCTCCTTCTGTAGCTGTTCTAATAGCTTCTGACTGATACCAAACAACAAGCTGTTGCAGTAGTCAAGCCTTGAAATCACAAGCGCCCGGACTAAGGCATGGGCGGCTTCAGCTGTAAGGTATTGACGAATGCTGCTGATGGAACAGAGATGAAAATAGCAGGTCTTACAGATATTGTTCACCTGTGTTTCCATAGACAGTGATGTGTCAAAGTATATGACAGGGCTACAGATAAGGGGCGTACAGGCGTAATGTACGCCTCAAAATCAATTAAGTAATTAAAGGCATATGGCAACTTTATCATATGGCAAATTAAACTTTGATGCCTGCATTTCCAAAGTAAAATATGAAAAGGTGAGAATTTTAAACGTTTTATCCTATTATACAAAAATAGATGGATCCATCTGTTAAATAAAAAAATGATACATGTATCAACTGAGCAAGCGATAATGACCACTCCATCCCATCATTAGCACTTGGGGATAGCCACGAGTTAATGAATACCAGTTCTACTAATAAAGTGTTTCAAACTCTGGAATCAAAGATGTAACTATGACAAAATGAAAGTCTACTTCAATCAATTATTTCTTGCACTCAGTACACCTACAGTTTATTACTGTGATAATGCAACATGATCAATACCAGACTTGTCAGTCTCAGCCATGTTAACCCTACCTTGGAGACGGATATTTTAGACTGAAGTTCAACAGTGTTGAATCAAAACAAGGTTAACATGGTTAATTCCAAAGAAATACTTCGCATATTTTACTGAGACCGAGAAAAATAATACTTGAAATACGATTTTTCTCTTTTTTGTATACCAGGTCTAATGAAAATCGATATTCGGTTTCATGACCCCACAGACGTTGACAAATATTTCAGCATGTGGACATAGACACGTCAACAAAATCCCATGGCATTCGGTGGAAAACTAAATCACTTGTGTGACAGTCGCGAAAGACCACGTGTATTTGCGGCATCACGGCCGACTGAGCTTACCTGCATCATTTTGCAGGCAACCAGTTTGTAGCCACGACTTTCAAACCTCTTCATGATTTCTCCGACGATTCCGCGTTGGACTCCATCGGGTTTGACTGCAATAAATGTGCGTTCTGATGCCATATTTTTGGTTTTGAGAAGGCTGCAAATATAGACAGGAGCGTGGCGACCATAGGCACGAAAAGGAAAGGTCACGTGGCCGGAAAAGTTGATGGAAGCACCGGATCCTAATTCTTGACAACTAATATTCAATAAATAGTGTAGAAAAGAAAGAAAAATCATATGTTTTGCGATTTATGATTATTTTGTTTGAAAAATATAAGCATTTATTAATCATAATAAATTTTTGTAGCTTTAGTTGAGAATAATTGTATTGAAGTATTTCATATACTTATTTTACAACATAAATATAATATGTTGTAAAGTTAGCACAACCCAATTTTACTGCCGAAATGGGGTTGTCTTCTGATTTTACTGAAGTAGAGCATAGACGACAGCCTAAGTGAACAAAATCAAGAGTTTCAGACAAAGGGGACCCAGTGTCATACAACAGTCTCAATCAGATGTTTTCATGGAATTATATGACATCTGATTCCAAAGATGAATTTATCATATTAAATTTTGGTACATCCGTGCATTTTGAAATTTACTGACCAATTTTGAAATTGTACTTTATATATAAGTTTGGTGTGATATACTTTATATCCTGTGAAATATACGATTGTTTCCGGAAACAATTTCATTTTAAGAAATAGTGTCAAAATGTATTTATGTATTAAATAACATGAATTCTAACCTAAAAAGTCAAATTATTTGTTTGTTTTTCATTCATTAGTAGCGGCCGTTGCTATTCTGTAATGTGAATTCACTTCTGTTGGTTTCTCTTCTGGGCATTAGGAGTGGTATCGCATCGGTGGAAAGGATCACAGTTTGTTGTTTAACGCCGCATTTAGCAATATTTCAGCTATACGGTCTGTAAATATATGCGGGTCTGGACCAGATAATCCAGTGATCAACAGCATGAGCATCGATCTACGCAAATGCGATACGATGACAAGTCTCAACCAGTTCAGCGAGCCTGACCACCTAATCCCGTTAGTCGCGTCTTACGACAAGCATGTGTTGCTGTAGAAGCCAAGCCAGTTCTTACCCTGATCTTCACGGTTCAATATATATGTATATTGATCGAACTATATGGGTCATATAAAGCTGTAAATTGATGCAACACATGTCAGAATATTTCAAATTATTTCTTTATCACATGACAAAGAATAACAAAAGTCGGTACCCATAAAACTGTCAAGTATTCGTGTTACTATACAACTTCTAAATGATTCTCAAAGACTTCATGACAGAAAACGGAGCCATTCTTCATTTCTAGGGCGGTGGGGTAGCCTAGTGGTTAAAGCGTCCGCTCGTCACGCCGAAGACACGGGTTCGATTTCCACAAGGGATCAATATGTGAAGCTCATTTCTGGTGTCCCCCGCCATGATATTGCTGGAATATTGCTAAAAGCGGCGTAAAACCATACGAACTAACTCACTCTTCATCTCTATGGTGTAATATACCAACTGTCGATAGGGATGGGAGGGAGTTCTTAGTTATCTGGGGGAATAAAGGTAATGAGGAACCTCAACATTATATTATGTAATGACCTGAAATTATAACAGGGTCAGCATTAAATTGTTTGGGACGTTGGTGGCACATGACTGAAAAATACATTGTCACAGTAGAGCTGGTCATTATTTCAGTTATATAGACGCTCGCATATACATGTATGCATGCTACTAAACAAATGCGAAGTTTGTTCCTACTTTGCGAGTCAGTTGAAAGGGTTAGTGGTTACAACACGGTGCTTTGTTGGCTACATAGTCGAGTTTAACTGAACCAGTCACCCGTGAGGATGCTGGTTAGAACAGGTCTTCAGCAGGTCATGATGTGGTAAGATGCGACTTCCCTTGTCGTAACAGACCACTATGCTAAAAGGCGACTATTTGGATCGGGCTGTCGGGCTTACTGACCTACAGCAATAGCACAGCTGCGAGAAAACATTTTACTTTCAGTGTGCACTGGCAAAAAGTTGCTGGAGCCTCATTAGATATTATTTGGCCAATTTCATCTCAGTTTTCCACAAGCTGTGCATAATAGAACAAGGACTTGCAATGTCCAGAATGTATCCTAAAGAAATAGTTTTTCACAATCAGGCCATTCTGAGTGAGTGAGTGAGTTTAGTTTTACGCCGCACTCAGCAATATTCCAAATAATCGAGTCTGAACCAGACAATCCATGAACATCTAAGTACGCATTTGGGAACCGATGACAATTTCCATTCTGAAGCATTCCTGCACCATTTTGATAGACCCACCCGGGTTAGAATTGCTTCAGTAACTCATGCTTGTCCTAACTGGAATGTAAGCGACTAACGGGATCGGGTGGTCAGGCTCGCTGACTTGGTTGACACATGTCATCGTATCCCACTGTTGCGCAGATCGATGCTCATGATGTTGATCACTGGATTGTGTGGTCCAGACTCGATTATTTACAGACCGCCGCCATATGGATGGAATAGTGCTGAGTGCGGCGTAAAACCAAACACTCACTCACTAGAAATGCTTCAGCAACTCATGCCTGTCTTAAGAATGTAAGCGACTAACGGGATCGGGAGATCAGGCTCGCTGACCTTGTTAATGCCAGTCACCGTGTCCTTATTGCGTAAATCAATACTTATGATGCCAAGCACTACATTGTCTGGTTAAGAAGGGAAGGATACTAATGACAAAGTTAAAATACGTAGTGAGAAAGGTAGGATACTAATGAGAAAGGTAACACGTAGTGAGAAAGGTAGGATACTATTGAGAAAGCTACTTTATGAGAAAGATAGGTTACTTTATGAGAAAGATAGGATACTTTATGAGAAAGATGGGCTACTTTATGGATGACAACATCTTTATTATATCATGATGCTACGTTTCGGTGTAGTTGTCTGGTCAAGACTTGATTATTAGAGGCCGCCGTCATATGGCAGGAAAATTGCTGACCGTAGCATTAAACAAGAAACAAATACTCAGTTCGTTGCAGACGTGGATGGGGAGGGGATGACATGTAGTTGTTGTTGTTTTTAAAACAAAGTTTTAAATTTGAACCTTAATCAGTGACTGGTTATTACTATAAGGGCAAGAGTTAAGGTAAAATGGAACATATTTTGGGGATGGGTGGCATAAAAACAAACATTACATAAAATGGGCTGTATTTGTGTGTGTGCGTGCGTGCGTGCGTGCGTGCGTGAAAATCCCTGTGTTACGGCATATTCTTCAGAACAACAAAATGACGTCACGCCAGCGTTCTTTTTTTTAAAATATACAAACTTTCAGTGATAGTGGCCGGACACTTGGGGTTTAAAAGTATAGTTTTGATAACGGTATACGTGTATAGATATCTATCGCTCCAACATAGTCAGCATAATAAAATATAATCGTCCTAATCAAGACCCCCAACCCCTACCCCACCGTGAACCATAGCTGCTATAATTAAAAGGCCAGCCCCGCACGTAGAAATTAAAAGAAACTCCCGTATTTCGTTTTATAAGATGAAGGACTGGTTGATCAATGTCCTCGTTATACAAAATCTTACGATTCGCCCATGGGCTAATGAAGCAGCAAAGGGATTAGCGTGATTTGGTTGTAAAGCGGCTCATCTAATTACTTCTTGGTGTGTTTGTTGAATTGTGTAGTCATTAACAAAGGTGTAATTAAACACGGCTATACGAAGGTCACGTGACTTGATAAGACCGACAAAACAGCTTAGGGTCCGTGTTTTAAAAATACGCCAAAGCGCCCGAGGAAGGATAATAATAAACGAATGAAGACAAGTACAATGAACAGGTATTGTCCTAACATATATTTTGTTAGTATGTTAACGCAGCGTTCAATATATTTTGCACGTGTATGCGCGTTTGTGGCTGTTTGCATATACTATAGTCTGGACTTGTGCAGGTTTTATAGTGCCAGACACCCAACTGAGAGGGATGTTCTCTTTTCGCCTACATCCCAATTCGCCTATACAGTTTTAAAACAACATTTCATGGTCTGTTTACTGTTGGTTACACAATGGTAAACTACTGTCACCCCTATGATCTGAAGGCGACGGAGGCGGTTAGATTTGATAAACAATTTTTTAAGACTAGTTTAGGCAGTAGAAACTCGGCAGTAAAGTTTAGAAACACCGTATCACAATATTGGCGGTAATATCTTAGTTATGTATAAAAAAATAATTAAAACCATAATTAGTGAAGGCATCTTACAGCTACTTGCAAAATATTAGCCACAACATATGTTCCTTATCTGTTGCCAGCGCACAAGTATATGAAACCTGTTCATGGCCAAGCCGATAAGCATGGATAATCCTCTTGACGAAATCTCTCCTCTGGGTAACCAAGAGGACAGTCACATACCAGGCAAATTACCTCCCTTGGCTCAAGATGGCGGTCGGTGAAGTCGCAGCCTCAGACGTGGTCTCGGTATGGAGGTAATTTGAGTTGAGCGTCCCCTCGACAGCATTATCTTGTTATATCAACATAACTGTTTCACGCGCATGTTTAGGTCCTGTATAATCAAACTGAATCCCTAAATTCTCGCAGCGACATGCTGTTTTCGGTTGAAGTTGAGGGATGTGACACGGGCGCACACCTCGGTGGAGTGCGACCTCATTATTCGGCCCGACCACTTCAGGGTGAGACGGGAGGTCGCACCATGCATGCGTGTCACCACGGAATGTTACTCCCAATAGGGATAGTGTTTATGATAGCACAAGTTTCTTAGTATTATGTCATTGTTTTGAAAGATTTTATTCAGCTTCAGTAAGACAAACTTTGAAACTTCTTCATTGTATTGTTAACGCCGTGAATGACAGGTCGCCGAGCGTGTGTGGCAGGGTGCGGATTACGGTCGCCCAGCAAAGAGGGGTAACGACGCTTGCAGAGGCATGCGTGTCTTGAAAAAAAATACTCGGAGTAAGAGAACTTTATAGTTCCCAAATGGCTATGTTTCCCATTGTTTTTTATGCACTTGTGAATCCTTTTTAAGTAGCCAGCCTCGGGCACAAAACTCAGAAATATTTTTAAGAGGGCCAATGAATTGCTTTGCTGCTGCATTGTGTGGAACCTGTAAACAAATGAAGAATCATAATTTTTGTAAATGTATTATGTTAATATCGTTAAAACAAAGTCAGGTTTTAAAACTGATGACATACCAAATGTGGAATTATCCTGGAATGATTTTGATGTATCGCATTAGTGCTGCTTTAGGTGTAACCAAGATGAAAGTTAGTCTTCTCATTTGATTATGTTCCTTCTTGTCATGTACAAAAAAACTATCAACCTTTTTCAGCATTATTATTTATTTCAACCTTGTGTATATAATATTTGCATAAGAGAAAGGAAAAGACTTCAGACATTTGATGACACAGGCATAGAGGTTGCATTTGAGAATAAGGAGATTGGGGTAGGTAAGACATATTGTGGTCATTAGGTGGAGCTACTGAAGAGATGACTGAAACTTTAATAATCAAGGAAATCAAGGAAACTATACCATTAGGATTCATTGGAATAGAGGTGTCCTTGTTGAAACTATATGAAATCACCTCTTTCACTATATATAAAATGTTTTTTTACATATTGTACACGTCCGTGTGGGGAATCAAACCCAGAACAGCTATTTGTATTGCTTTAAGTATTGTTGTTTATTATGAACTAAAGTGTTTGTCACTGATTGACACTGATTCTACATGCAGATTCTGATTTCTACTAAAGTAAATATAGATCTCTCATTTTGTAGTCCTAATACTGGGGAAATGACAAGGTGAGAAAGAAGTCAGTTTAATGTTTCTTCCGTTTGTCAATTAAAGTTGAAGGGAAACATTATCGGAGAATGAATTTCTGTGGAGACTTTAGTTTAAATGATACGAAAAACAATGAAACCTGTTTTGTATTTTTTACCCAAAACACCTGAAAAAAGACAAAACATTGGAATATGTATTGTTTGAAAATTGTATAGCAGTATACCGACGTCTCAGCAACACTGTGCAGCACACCTAAGATATCAAGATCAGGAGACCCAAAAGTGTTTGATGCAGATTGTCGCAATGGTATCAACGTCATTCATGCCTTATTCCACATGGCACGAAAATTAACATTGGTTTTGTGTTAAGAAGAAAGTTTGGGTAATTCCTGATACTTTTTCTAAGGTTAGCGTACTTTACATAAGCATGTCATGAGAGGCAACTAAGTAATGAATCCATGATCACGCAGTGATCTGGATGATTACATGTCATTACAACCCGATGGTGTGTATCATTTTCACCCATAATATCAATCACAGGAATGTCTGGTTCAGACCTGATTATTTACAAGTTCCAATTATGTTGCTAAGTATTGGGATTAGTTTTATTTTTTAGAAAATGTATTGATACTAATGACAGACTATCATGATATGACAGGGATTTATCTTGACAAATTGGTAAAATAAACATTATTTTTGTTCATTATCTGGTATCAGGATTATTTAAATTCAAAATTTGGGAGCAAGTAACATATTGTAACACATAATTTATTTCCTATTTACTAGTCCTGTTGAAAGTGAAATACACACTCTACAAAGCTTTACCTTCAGTTATATAACAATGTTTTTTAGTTCCAATTTAGGAATGTTTACTGACATTAAATAATGTCTCAATTTGAAGTCAAGATAAATCCCTGCAGACTGACCAGTTAGTAATGTCGACTGTACAAGACAGCATTTTTTATTCATGTGATCTTTATGTGTTGAAACTATTTGTGTTTGTTTTGTTGTTGCAGGATATTCTGATGGCAAGCTTCAGCAGGATGAAGCCTACATGCCACTCTGAGTTGTCTCCCCTCAGTTTGTGACCATGCAGAAGAAGAGGGAAGAAACTCTGTGTGAAGAGGAGGCTGCAATGGAAGACATTGCGGAAAGTAGTCATGGCCTTCCTGAAAATGGCAACAGTGAATCAAACGAAGAGCATGAGAATCCAAGAGCTGGTAAAATCAAAATGCGCCTCTTCAGTGAGGGTGGGGATGGATGGAGTATAAGCAACCCTGTTGGTCAAGGAAAAGAAGGCAAGCAGGATGAAGAATCAGAACTGGATGAGGAAGAATGCCCAAATGTATCTGCAGATGAAAAGGTGTCAGATCCATCTGTGGGAGACGAGGGGTCAAATCCATCTATGGTAAATGAGGAGTCAAATCCATCTGTGGAGGATGATGGATCCAATCCATCTGTGGAGGATGAGGGATCCAATCCATCAATAGAGGATGAGGGATCCAATCCATCTGTGGAGGATGAGGGATCCAATCCATCATCTGTGGAGGATGAGGGGTCCAATCCATCTGTGGAGGATGAGGGATCCAATCCATCTGTGGAGGATGAGGGATCCAATCCATCATCTGTGGAGGATGAGGGGTCCAATCCATCTGTGGAGGATGAGGGATCCAATCCATCTGTGGAGGATGAGGGATCCAATCCATCTGTGGAGGATGAGGGGTCCAATCCATCTGTGGAGGATGAGGGATCCAATCCTTGATGAGGATCCATCCATGGGAGATGACTCCATCTTGTCCAGGTGGAGGATGAGGGATCCAATCCATCTGTGGAGGATGAGGGGTCCAATCCATCTGTGGAGGATGAGGGGCCCAGTCCATCCATGGGAGATGACTCACATCCTTGTCTGGTGGAGGATGAGGGGCCCAGTCCATCCATGGGAGATGACTCACATCCTTGTCAGGTGGAGGATGAGGGGCCCAGTCCATCCATGGGAGATGACTCATCATCCTTGTCAGGTGGAGGATGAGGGGCCCAGTCCATCCATGGGAGATGACTCACATCCTTGTCAGGTGGAGGATGAGGGGCCCAGTCCATCCATGGGAGATGACTCACATCCTTGTCAGGTGGAGGATGCATCAAATCAATCTGCAGATAGAAATTCTTCAGCAGAAACTATAGATGACTCTGCCGATGAAGGCGATGATAACTCTGCTGATGAAGGTGATGATAACTCTGAACATGGCAATATGACCGACAATCCCGATGAGAGTGGCGAAGACATGGCTAATGAAGATGAGGAGGAGGAGGACAATCTCCCAGTTCATTTTGGCAACATGGCTAACAGTGTAGAGGTATGTAGTGACTCAGTGAGCAACGATACAGACTACAGTCAGAAGACCACCACAGACAGCCAGTGTGGAAAGACTGAAGATGAAAGCGCTGTATCTCTCGTTGATGAGATAGCAAGCAGAAAGAGATCATCTGTTCATAAGAAGCTGGAAAATGTTTTTATGCGACTTAAGAGCAAGCAGATTGCTGCAGCTATTGCTGAATATGAGGGCACAGGTGGAACCAATGAGGACTCTTTAGAGGCGCCATCTAGTGACAATGAGGGTAGGGTATCGCCCATTGACCTGCAGGAGATCACTGAGAATGGCTGCAGTGAGATGCTAGACGACAGTATCAATATCGAGAGCATCACCAAGTACCATCAGTTCAATGGGGCAGGCTACAACGAAGATGATGAGTATGTAAATGATGCAGAAGACCAGGAGGTTATGGCATCATGGTTGGATGAGGGCAAAATGGCAGATTATGATACGAACGAGGAGGATGGATTGGATGAGACTGGGAACAGGAATGGTTATCGGCTACAGATCAAAACCGAACCAGGTCTTGAGAGCTTCCCAAGCAGTAGTCCAGGGAAAAGAAGGAAGAAATCCCTGTTGAATGGTAAATACAAAAAGATTAAGACCGAGCCACTGGACTATGACTGGACGCCTACTATGGTGAACGGCAACCATGTGAAGGTAAAATCTGAGCCCATGGATGACGATGAGTGGAACTTTTCTATGACTGGATTAAACTCAATCAAGAAGGAGCCCATGGATGATGTGTGGGAGCCGAAGAATGAGAACCTGGTAAAGTGTAACTTGTGTGACATGGTGTTTTCATACAATAGTGCATTGGTCAGGCATATGCGTGTTCACACTGGAGAAAGGCCTTTCAAATGCACAGAGTGTCCCAAGCAGTTTACAGAATCTAGTGGTTTGAGACGGCATCTTAGGACACACACCGGTGAGAAGCCACATGAATGCACAATGTGTGGAAAGGGATTTTCCGAGTCTGGAGGTCTGACACGTCACATGCGGACCCACACGGGCGAGAAGCCGTACATGTGCGAACACTGTGACAAATGCTTTACTGAAGTCGGGGCCCTCAGGCGCCATGAGTTCACGCACCAGAACAGTCTGGAGAAACTGTTCAAAGTATTCTGTGATCTGTGCGGTAAAGGGTTTAATGACACTTCATCACTGACCAGACATAATCGCTGTCACACTGGCGAAAAGCCCTACAGTTGTTCAACATGTGGGAAATGTTTCTCCGAGAAAGGATCCCTTGCTCGTCACATTCGTATCCATACTGGCGAGAAGCCATTCACGTGTCAAGTCTGCCATAAACAGTTCATTGAATCAGGCTCGCTCCGTCGCCACATGCTTGTCCACACCGACAGAAGCAACATTCGGTGTGAGCTGTGCGGCAAGGGATTCAACAAGATGCCAGCCCTCATCAAACACTACACCATCCACACAGGAGAGAGGCCTTACAAGTGCAGTTTTTGTAGAAAGTCATTCTTCGAGCACAGAGACTTGATACGCCACACACGTTCACACACTCAGGAACGTCCATTTATATGCAATGTGTGTGGTAAGGCTTTCTCCGAGAACTGTTCTCTTGCTCGGCACAAACGTATACACTCCGGAGAGAAACCTTACAAGTGCAAAGAGTGTGGGAAAAGGTTTGTGGAGTCGTGCGCACTGACAAGACACTCTCGTATACACAGCGGCCAAAAAGATTATGCCTGCTTCATATGTGGGAAGAGGTTTATAGACAGCAGTGCTCTCAAACGTCACATGACCACCCACACTGGTGAAAAGTCGTACAAATGTGATGAATGTGGGAAATGTTTTTCGGACACAACAGGTCTGACCCGCCATAAGCGTATTCACACTGGTGAGCGTCCTTACAAGTGCAACACGTGTGACAAGGAGTTCCCGGACAGTCCTGGGTTGATCCGGCACATCCGGACACACACAGGAGAGAGACCCTATAAATGCAAGTCCTGCAATAAAGCATTCACCGATTCCAGTTCCCTGAGTCGCCATGAACGGACTCATGAAGACCGCACGTACAACTGTGGAGTGTGTCAGGAGGAGTTCAAGTCCTACGAGGAGCTCGTCCAGCATGCAGAGGTCCATTTTGAGAAACTGGCTTGTGGTATATGTGGAAAGTTATTCACTGTCTTATCAGCATTGAAAGATCATCTCAAGCTCCATTCTGGGGACAAAGTGTTTAAGTGTACGACATGTGACAAGGAATTTTCACTGATGAGCTCACTTGAGCGGCACATGCGTGTTCATACGGGTGAAAAGCCTTTTGGGTGTGAACTTTGTGGCAAGTCGTTCGCAGAATCCGGAGCTTTGGTTAGACATCGGCGAATACACACAGGAGAAAAGCCACACAAGTGTGACATTTGCCTAAAAGGATTTGTTGATTCAAGTGCACTATCTCGACATCGAAGGATACACTTGAACATCCGGGAAGAGAAATGTGACATCTGTGGTAAAGCTTTTGTGGACACAGGCGCGATGAGGCGTCACAGGAAAATCCACACGGGTGACAAACGCACGAATGCCTGACTTGTGGGAAACGGTTCCTGGAAGCCAGCACATTGCGCCGACATGAACTGACCCACACCGGAGTCAAGCCCTACCACTGTCACATCTGCAACAAACAGTTCACGGAGAATTCCACACTCATCAGACACATCCGCACACATACTGGGGAGAAACCCTTCTCATGTGATATCTGCAATAAGACTTTCTCCGAGTCAGGAACCTTAACAAAGCATAAGAAAATCCATGGGGTGGGCGAGAAGCAGTTTGAGTGTGGTCTTTGTGGGGAGGAGTTTGGTGGCTCGGAACACCTCATGGAGCACATTAGTACACATAATATGACAGTTGAAGGTGAATATTTGTGATACACTGGACCTAGCGTTGTTTTGTACATAATGGACTGATATTAATTTTGAGGTATTTACTTTGTAACTGCACAAACATTAGCATATCAGCATGAGTTTGTTTTAAAACTTTTATTTGTCGCTGTAGGATCTATTTGGTTTTTGATTACTTTGTGATCAAAGACAAGCATAAATGTGTTCTTAAGTGTGTACATGATATAGAAAGCATGCAAGATGTGACAGTTTTAACAGGAATATGCCAATTTCTTTCATTACTTGGATCACAGACGTGCTGGTGGGAGTTGTTCAAGCAGAGCCTTTAATTTGAAACTTGTTGTTGGAGGATGACAGAAAATAGAAATAACATTGCTACTATAGCAGCTGTTTAATTTTGTTTACAGGACAATCTCAAACCGTATCCCTTCAAACAAAGAATTTCAATCTTTTCCATTTTGTCATAATCAAACAAACAAACACAAAGGAACCTTAAAATAAAAGGATAAAATCTGCTCCTTAGGTTAGAAAGAACTATGCTCACAGGAAATGCAAGAAAACTGAAATTATGCCTTTTTGTGATTTTCTGAAGAAAGTTGACTTAGTGCAGATGTGATCCAAGTAAATTATTGAGGTTGTGCTTTGTAGCCGTGTATGATATGTTACTTCAGAGTACTTGTTCACCACAAAATTGTTGGTTGATATTGTTCTGTAAGCAATACATTTTCACACAGCGTGAGATTTAGTGTTAGGAAGAATTGGCTGATGGAATGTCATTCAAAGTTTGGTCAGTTTGCTCCCAGTTAGATCTGTCTCAAGGCCTTTAGTGACCTTTCGTAAATTGTGTTACCTTTTTCAAAATGCAGGGACTGTGTCTACAATATTGTGATATAACAATATTCTGGTCCACTGTAACAGAAAGTTTGCTTGTTTGTATGAGGTGATATCTATATAGAAGTACCTGTTAGTGGATCCTTATTCCCCATGTTTGGGTTTGGTTCTAACATTGTGTCTCATCGTTATATTTCTACTCTGAAACTAAATGTCATCTCATAAGTTAAAACATTGGGACGTAGCTGTGACCTTGACATTCATGAAAGGTCTGCCACATCTACAGCTTCATGAATGATTGCAAAGTAGGGAGTTCCTTCCCAAAAGATCTCCTCTATCTCATTTGGAATATGAACATTTTCACAATTATGTATTTGGATAGATAGGTATGGTTATGGCGTCTGTTTTCAACACTGGAGATGTAACACCCGGAATAGGTAGGGAAGGTATTTCTTTTTGTATTGAACCAAACCCTTTGTTAGTTTTGCAATGGAATTTTTTTTTCACAAACTGTAGTTGATGTAAGTTAAACCAGTAGTGGTTATTTTAAGTATCAACATTAGGGATCAAAGATGGATATATTTAGATGTTAGTGTGGTCATCTGTGGCCTGATTGGGTAGTCAAGAAGTTTGGTAACACATCTCTGATGGAGATGCATTGCCCCATTCAGGAAAAGGTCTTCTGTTCTTGCCTGCAAAGCAAATACTGGTATCTTTCTAGTAAAAATACTTGTTTGATTCAGTTGATCTTTGTGAAAAATGCACTTGTACAACTGGCACAGTCAGAACATGTTCAATAGGAGGAACCTGACATCCAAGCAACCATAATCTGTTTATATTACACTTTGTCTTAACTCAGGTTAACTCTTGAAGTTCCCAACTGGTCGTTAAAACTTTATAGAAGCAGGAGCCCATGGCAGTGAAGGTCTGAAGGTGTGAGGTGCAAGATCAGCTTTGTAAAAGTTTTTTTAAGTTTTACATCTGAATTCCCTTTAAATTTTGGAATATATAGCAGAAAATGAGAGCTTTCATTTCTTACTGCATAAGGGGCAGTGGGGTAGCCTCGTGGTTAAAGCATTGCTCATCACACTGAAGACCCAGGTTTGATTCCCCACCTGGGTATGATGTGTGCAGCCCATTTCTAATGGCCCCATTGTGATATTGCCTGAATATTGTGAAAAGAGGCGTAAAACTAGACTCAGTCACTCTTACTGCATAGGAACAGAATATAAAGAAATTTATGTGTTCTATTATGTCTCACATATGTTGTTTTGTTATTAGTTATATTGAGAAATAGTCTGCAGAATATAACTTCAGAAATGTTGTTCCTTGTGCAACTCTGATCTTGCACCTGTTGGTACACATGCAATAATGATGCCATGGTAACTCTGTAACTCCTTTTTTATTGTATATATAATGTAGCTTGTTATTCTGTGTACTATGTTTCTGTATATGCAACTTCCATGAAATTACATTTGTAAATGTTACACTGAAACTCACTTCTTTTTACTGAGCAAATCTGAGCACATGGTTGGCTCAGCAGTCTAAGGCCTTGCTTCGTGCTGTACAAAGTTCCGTCCCTGAGTCATGCGTTTGACATGATCCCAGATTCATCCCAAATATGGCCTTCGTCTGTTGGAACCCAACCTGTGCTCGCATACTTCTGGGAAATGGTAATTGTCTATGATCCTGCCCCATTTGGGCTTCTCATCCCTCACTAGGGGCGGTTGGGTAGCATAGTGGTTAAAGCTTTCGCCCAACATGCTGAAAACCCGGCCTTGATTCCCCACATGGGCACAATGTGTAAAGCTCATTTCTGGTGTCCCCTGCTGTGATATTGCTGGAATATTGCTAAAAGCGGCTTAAAACTGAACTCACTCCTGCCTCATTGAGCTGGCTTGTTATGATGTACATGTTGTATTATCCAAAGTCAGAGTTTAACTCCAGTCCCTTATTTTAGACATTGATGTTTGTGTTGATGATGCTGAGTGGGTTCTGTGTATATCAATGTGTTCAACCACTCCATCATGTGTAAGAGGGGCACGGGTGGTGCCCGAGGTGCTGCAACTTGCTTAACTGTGTTGAGTCCTTTAGGCTTGATGGATAATTATGCTCATGAGTTCAAATCAAAGATTTACCCCAAATGTGTTTCAATGATCGTTTACACCATACCTATGTATAGTTTGGCATGAAATGCATGTGGACCCGGTTTTTTGTAAATATCTCTTCATCCAATGACCCAATCGATCTCAAACTGTGCAAGTGGATGTTTTGTCAGACAACCTAATCACATTTTAAATCACCGATTTTATGCATTTGTATTAAAGAATCTGTCTATGTAACTGTCAACAAAATAAACAGCAGACCGCAGACTGCTTGCAGAGGGAGGGAGCCAATGACCTGTAACAGCGGCAGTGTTGGGTCATAAAGGTCAACGTTCGTCAATGTAGGTCAGCTATGTACGTTTCATGTAATCCGACACCTTATAAATCGGTTTTCTACGTTTGCTCTCTTTTTAAAAAAAATTCAACACATTTCTAATTAAACGTTTAGCATCATCTGAATAAGCTTTCATGATGACAGCTAGAAGTAGTCAATCTGAATGATCCAAACGGTCTATCACTGTGCAGTGCACAGGTAACTATCATGAACTGCACGTGCATTTACCTTTATGACCCAACACTGCCGTTATTACAGGTCATTGGCTCCCTCCCTCTGCAAGCAGTCTGCGGTCTGCTGTCTTTAATACAAATGCATAAAATCGATGATTTACAATGTGATTAGGTTGTCTGACAAAACATCCACTTGCACAGTTTGAAATCGATTGGATCATTGGATGAAGAGAGATTTACAAAAAACCGGGTCCACATGCATTTCATGCCAACCTATAATTGGATTTAAAATGAAGTGGTAAACATCTTAGCCTTGCATAACTTTGGTCAATCTCCCAACAGAGCTGACGTGATTACTGTTCTAAGCAGCATTAGACCAAACTCATTTTTCACCCTCTCATCTTGCAGAGAGCAGTGAGTTTCAGTGTTTGTGTGTGTATATATCACATCTCTATGCATAACATTGACCAAAAAGTCCTGTATGTGAAGGCAATCCATTTGTTTTCCTCTTTTTATACCAAGTCTAAGTGAGTTTAACTGATGTATGTAAACAACCGATATACCTCATGTACAGACACAAACTGGTACCAGCGTGCATCCCCCTCAAATATCCAGACCATTTACCTCGGGCATGTGTGTAGTTCAAGATTGACGAGTGTCTAGAGTTGTGGCAATAGATCTTTTTGTATTGGATAGCCGATTGTGTACATATTCTAGAGGGGCAATTCTGAACAGTGTGGCGCCTGTTTACAGTCTCTGTAGATAATGTAGTTAGTGTCGTGAGTTTAAATGTGACATTATCTCTGTGTGAGTAGGGTAAACAGTAACTACTAAATTGATATATACTACCCAACTATTGAAAAGGGTACTGGAATTGTTGTATCATGTGATAACACAAGTGGACAAAATATTCCTGGGTCCTGTACTTTTGTGAATTACCAAACATGAAGCCAAGCATGATTTAGTTCCACAATAATATCAGGCACTGTTGTTACATTTGGACACTGAATATCCTTGTTAAATGTTGAGTGGTATACATCACTGAATTGAAGCAAAGAGACTGACAAATTCTCTGAGTTGTCTCCCTTACACTATTCACGGCTGTGCCATGTATGAAGGTATTCTGACTGTTGTGCTGGTCTTCGTCAAAGACTGACAGAAACACGTGTGAAATGTCCTGGTTATTATGGGATGGACTGCTCACTCTGTAATTCTATGCAATGTGGAGCTGCTTTGTCTCAACAGTGCTAACAGCAACACTCGGTCACAAGTGGAAGGGTATCGTTGACCTTTGTCGAGCCACACTATATTTTACAGTTAACAGATTTCTGCTGACCAATAGCTTGGGTAGGTTGAAACATATTTTCTTATACAACACATTTGTAATATTTCATCATTCCTCAAGCTATTTTCGTCAGTCAGTATAGTGGGCAGTCTAAATAAACTTAGGCTCAGTATTATTCGTTACACTGCTATACTGAGTCTAACAAACCCTAGTAGAAGGTCGCGTCGGCTAACCTCTGAGCGACCTGTGACCGTCCAATCAAGACGGACAAATGGATTTAACCAGTCAGACAACGGCTACTTTTTAGGGTTCGGCAGGAATTACAAAATGGATTTTCTCTTCCCGGGTCGCTGACACCGATCTCTCAACAAACAAAAATCCGTATTTAAACACAGAGATTTGACCTGCAGTATATACACTTAGGGGTTTCTGATGACATGGTTACTATTAGCTTATATTCCACAAGATGACATCCTTGAATATTCGCTATTTTCAGCGACTGTTTACTCACTGTTGTGAATAATGGCGTCCTCCAGGTGTATCACTCGGAAGTGATTGTGCGGAAAATAGCATTTGGAATCATTCGAATACAAACATTTTCGAGGTAAAAGTTCGAACGGTATGTGCGAATGTTAACTTTCGCAATTTGGTAAGCTGTGTTCTGATTGGTCAATTCAAAAGGTTAGCTAACACGATCTTCTACTGGGGTTTGTTAGACTCAGTATAGCAGTGTTATGAATAATACTGAGCCTAAGATTACATAGGCGGGGGATAAGATAAATGTGAATTGTGTATAAAGTGTAAGTTGTAAGAATTTCAAAAGTAATGTGTATATATGTACTTCTGAAAAGGCTTGTTTCTGTTGCACTTTTTTAAGCAGTCATTCAGAGAGTTGGAGATCCATGATTCTTCCAATCTATCGAAAGTGGAGTTTAGTGAGTAAACAATTAATATTTGATCAAATCACTAAACCAAATGATAAAAAGAGTGTCATCTTGGATCCACACAGACAAGTTGAGAACTGTTGCGTCCTAAAGGTATTAAATGTCGCTAGTATTGTCACAGTTGTGTAAGACATGTTCTCTGAACAAGTCAAAAGTATGTGAAAATATCTCTGGATGTAGACAGCCAAGTGCTTGTTTGTTCATTTATCCAAGAACTTCAACATCCAGTAATCACCATTCCTTAAGTCAAAAATGGCATTTGTGTTTAGAAGATAAGGAACTGACTTTTGTATCATTGCTTATCATCCTTCAACAGCATTAATTGTGTTCATCATTGACCCAACATTCCTATTTGCCTGTTCTTATTGGTATTATAATTTTAAATGTTTGAAATTAAATAAAACTTTCATTTATTCAAGATTTCTTGGATATGTTGCATAATTCAAACATTATCTCAAATGATTTTGTTTACAATATCATTTTCTGAATGATATGCTGTAGAATATTTTTAATTTAGATAAAGTGTTCATAATAATGTGTATTAGGTGTTTATACTACTTAATTTTCTTGGAGATATTTCGTACTAAACAACTGATGGATGTGTTATCTGGACTTGAAGCTAAAAGTGTCCAATCTTTGGTGATGTTAAAATAAACAAATATTAAGGGCCCAATTTCACAAATTAATTTTAGCTCTTTAGACCATCGTAAAGACTGGTATATGTAGCACTAAGATCAGTTTGTGGAATGGGGACCGAGTTGAGAAGCATATATTTGTAACCACATAAGCAGGAATTTTGTGTTGAATTGTCATGTGCCTATTTTTAGCCAGCATTGCATATTGTTACCTTGTATCTGAAGAAGTGATACCCAGTATGTACATGATATACATCTCTCATAATCCATTTTATAGTCGATGTACATATCTAGCAGGTTCTACCAATCACTTTTGTTATTATCCAGATGTTCTAATGTATTACCTGTGCAACCTCAGTCATTGGATTCTTGAAACACAGCTCCTGATTGTCAACATTTTATCATTTTTGGGGACCATTTGTGTGTATAGCAAGACCAGTTAGTGTCTTGGTTTGCAGATTGAACACTGACGCATTCTTCAAAGTGATCCTAAGATGTTCATAACTGCAAGACTTTATCTTAGACATAGCTGGACTATGATACTAATACTTTGTGGAACTGGGCTAAGACAACCTTTACACAAATCAATCTTAGCACTAAGACTTTATTCTACACTTACAGCAGTCGTAGCTGTTTGATTGCTTTGTGGAACAGCGCCCAATTCAATATGCTAAGTGTGTCAAATCCCAGGAGACAAAATGCATGTTTGTTATTTCTAGGTTAAATTTCTTAATAGATAATGTACAAACAAGCATAATTTCAACTGTACATTGTTTTGTCTTCTTTCCTATGCAGATTTTGAGAGTTTTGTCTACATGTCAAGATAATTGTTGGTCTGTCTTTGTAAACTTGGTTACGAAGTTACGTTGTTTTAAGTGTTTGAGATTACGACCTTTGATACGTTTCAGATTTCTGGCGTTTGACATTCATAATTCTTTCATTAGTTTAAAAAAATTTTAAATGTTCAAAATTTAATTCAAGATGTTACAAGATTTAATACAAGCTATGAACACTGCTTGAACATGTAAGTATGTGTTCAGAAATTACATAGGTCCAGTCGGAGGGGTGTTGCACAGGCTGTAAGCATCAACATCTCTTGAGTCATTGTTGAGTTGCAAGCTCAGGGTTAGAAGAGTTGACGTTCATGCTATCATCCAAGACTCATTTATCATCGCCAATCATTGCCCAGACTACATCAGAGGTATTTTTGTGTATGATGACTGTATGATATGGTGTAGGCGGTAGTCCTATATTCAGAGGAATAAACTTTATAATACTTTTACACAAGATTTTGTTGTCTATATTGAAACATATATGCTGCAGCAGCCCCTCAGTACTTGTGGAGGTTACACAAATTTTCACTGAAGAATGAGGACAATTTTTATGGATATACAACTTCTTTGTTCTGTACAGGCAACATTTCAACATAGATTCTAATGTCATTGTCGGGCGGTGGGGTAGCCTAATGGTTAAAGCGTTGGCTCGTCACGCGCCGAAGACCCGGGTTCGAATCCCAACATGGGCACAATGTGTGAAGCCCATTTCTGGTGTCCCCCGCCGTGATGTTGCTAGAATATTGCTAAAAGCTGCGTAAAAACCAAACTCAGTCAGTAATGTCATTGTCAAGCAAATCAAGTGGCTGCTTGACAACGACATTAGAATCTATGTTGATACGTCGCCTATACAGAATAAAGAAGTTGTAGATCAAAACAAAAATTCCTCTTTCTTCATCCCCTCAACTTCTAGAAGAAATTTTCATTGGGTAATAGAATTCTCTGAATAGTTCAGCATCACAAATAGCAAATGCTACACATATTTCTGGTGCAGACATCAGCTACAAAAAAGCTTTAGTGGACAGAAGCTACACAGATGCAGGTGAAGAAGTAAGGTCAACAGACTGCAGGGACAGATATATGCTGCACACAGCTGCATTTGCAATACAAGCTACACTACACATACCTGTTGATGGAGAGACATCAGCTACACATTTACTGTAGACAAGAGCTACACGTATTTGCTGTAGACAAGAGCTACACATATTTGCTGTAGACAAGAGCTACACATATTTGCCGAGACAAGAGCTACACATATTTGCTGTAAACAAGAGCTACACATATTTACTGTAGACAAGAGCTAGTACATACTCCTAGTAGTACCACCCGTGAAGATCCGGGTTAGAGTTGATCTTTAGTAACCCATGCTTGTTGTAAGCACTGGTTAGGCTGGCTGACTTGGTTGACACGTCATCGGCTCCTAATTGCGTAGATCGATTACTGGATTGTCTAGTCCAGACTCAAATATTTAGAGACCGCCGCCATATAGCTGGAATATTGCGGAGTGTGGCGTAAAACTAAACTCGCTCACTCACAGTAGTACCAGTTGTTTATGCTGTAATATGGCAATACCACAGCTACAAGAAAACTGTTTCACTTTCAATGTGCACTGCCCAACACTAGTTGCTGAACCCTCCTTTGGATATTATTTCATCTCAATTTTCCAAAAGCTATGCATATTAGGACAAGGACTTGTAATGCCAAAAATGTATCCTAAAGAATTTGTTTCACAATTTCCATTCTGAAGCAATCATCATTTGATAGACCCATCTGGGTTAGAATTGATCTTCAGGAACCCATGCTTGTCGTAAGAGGTGACTAATGGGATGGGGTGATCAGGCTTGCCGACTTGGTGACACATGTCATTGTATCCCAGTTGCGTTGTCTGGCTCAGACTTGATCAATTACAGACTAGTGTTGGGAATTGGTTAAAATCTCATTATTGATGATTGGTTCATAACCACCGATCAATCATCGAAAATAATTGGTTAGCATCATTTATGAAATTTGTTAATGCACAAAATATAAGGGAAAAAAAACTATGTAGTTATTTTTGGGTTTTTTGGCAAAATATCACATCTTTAAAGGATGACTAGTATGTTAGGAACATAACTTTCTTGGTGTCTTTAAGATAAATTCAATTTTATGACTTGGAACGAGCTTGTAGAGCTTATGAAATGTAACAGACAAAACCAACCTTGTGAAAAATATTGTTGATGAAAACAAGTGTTCCAGAATTGTTTGTGTTCGATTATGAGAAAACACGATCGATTGCTTGGTCGTTTAGTCACTGCGACCAATCTTCGATTATTTCAATTAATCGGATCACCACTATTACAGACTGCCGTTACATAGCAGGAACTTTGCTGATTGCTATGTTAAACAACAAATATTGATGGATCAATTAGAAATACTAACACTTGCTCTTTAATGGATCCACTTATATACTTGGTCTTCAATGTCCTTCAAAGCATAATAATAAAGAAAACTGAAATGTTTCTTCAGAACAACTTTATTGCACACATGAGACGGACAAGCAACAAGGCTTAGTTAATATTGCACAGTCACACAAGTTGAGGTAAAGCTCAATGGGTGCAACCTTGTCATCACAAATCATCGCTGAAAACTACTAAGGAGAAAGAGTAAATAAAACATGGCTGGTCCTCAGAAAATAACTATTTCTCTCAAATCAGTATTTTAATCACTTGGGTCACTTGTACATATAACTACTCCATCATTACTGGTTGTCGACTTATCTGGTTGCACAGTTCGGTACGGTCACTGGAAGCCGGTGGGCTAGGCTAGAGGTTAAAGGTCACATAAACCCTAGGGGGTGAAAAATACATAAATCACTAACAGGCATCGTTATAAATGAAACCCCGTCATTAAAACTACTCATTTCGACCTTTAATTGACTTAAATCGACCTTTATGACAACAGTGCACAATTCTCACCCGCGAACGAAATTTCAACCAATCAGAGCGGCGCGACTCTGTGACGTCATATGAGGAATAGCTTTGAGGGCCGATGCAGAATTCATCTACATTTTAGGGGCTAAATTATCTTGTTTACAGGCTTGTATAAACCTGAAATCGTGACAGTTGTTGTGGAAAATGAAAGCTATATGTTCTCACAATCTACTGGCATTTAATTTTGTCTCCTGCTTTGCCTAGTTTCTGAGTTACAACTTGTTTTCATAGACGCTTCTGTCACAATTGATTGGTGTCGTTAGGCCCTATTTGTATAATGACTAATCTAAATTGATCCCATTTCTGTGTTTTTTTACCTCGATATTTAATCATGTCATGTAAAAATCTGTTTGTATTCTCAAAACAGTGTCGGCCCATAAGTTTTCACATGCAATACAGCAATTAATACTCTCCTTGTTGTAACCCGTGTTAGGTGGTATAAACCTACACATGTTATTTGTCATCATTCACTTGATGGTCAGTTAATGAATTTATAACAGGTATAATTAGTGGTAACACACTTAGATTACCCGACAAAGGTTCCCATTTGGCATTTCTGGTGTCTGGAGTAAATATTCAACATTATAAACATCGATCAAAGGATTAACCGATAACACGCTGATTGATTAATTACTTTTATCTTACACAGCCGGATTTGTCAAAGGTAGTGTTTATGTATGTAGATTTACTAATCTATACTGAATACACTCTGCCGTGTCGGTGTCTCGCGTAAAAACAACGTCCTTCTTTCAAAGGATTAACCGGCAATACATTGATTGATTGCCCATTATTGGCTAACTAAATTACTGTTTTTAATGAAAGGCGGACATTATGCAATTAGTTGCCAGGTGTGCTATCTTGGGTGACCAATGAGACTATACACCAATACCTGAAAAGATTTATCACTTTTTCGTATATTAAACTGTTAAAGACACATCATTTGGAACAGTTTTGTGGATATTGATGGATACATTCCTCGAACAAGGTAATGGCCTGATATTGTTCCTATAACTTTAATCTGTTTCAATTTTAATATTTGCATTTTGTTTTTATTCATTTGTCGTAGCATTCAACAGAATCATTGTTTTCGCCGTGAAGTGTAATGAGACAGACAACATACACTAGGGTGTGTGTGCGAATTATGATTCACATTGGCAAACTATAAAATGTCTAGATATTACAGTTCTGTTATAAATTCACTATAAGTATCAGCAGATCGTCAGATTTTTATTTAGTTTCAATATGCATAAAGAGTATGATAATAAACTAATTAGGATTATAAGACCAAATATAAAGACGCACATTGACTAGTATCTACATACTGGTGAGTGGACATTAACCATGGGAATGTAGCAAGAAATTTATCGCGCGCAGTATTGTGACTTGACCCACCTCGCTTCGAGGAAGAAATCGTTATGTTATAAGTTGTGTCATGCAAAATCCTTTTGGTTATGATTCCAATACATATTTAACTTCGAGTAGAAAGTAGTTTTGATTTTCTAACTTGATGAAAACAAACTATAATCTCATTAATTCTAACAGACTTCGTTTTCAAAAATGTAGCCCTATAGGAACATAAGTCTGTGGATAAATGCTATTTAGGTTTTGTTTTCACGCGGTTACAAAAATCAAAACTACTTTCTACAGTAATGAAAATATATATTTTAATGCCAATAGGAGTTTGCATCGCTGACATAGCGATATAACATAACAATTTCTCATTAGGCAGCGGTGGGTGTCAATAATAATACTACTTACAATATTATTGTTAACTTAGACCACAACCTCGGCTTCGGGAAAAATCGTTATGTTACAAGTTGTGTTATGGAAAATCTTTATGGTTATCAATCATATACATATTTTACTATAACTAGTAAGTAGTTTGATTCTTTGACTTCCGTGAAGCGATCTGAACACAAGTAAGATATCGTTTCAGGCTACCTACAGCTTAAACCGCGCTCACAAACACCAACTCATTTGTACGAACTGCGGGTCCTGTGGAAATCTGTGCATAGGTGACACCATCATCCGACCCTAAGAACAATTGGCGACAAAACAGCGATTGACATGTCGCGTCACCGTTCATGTCGAAAATCATCAAAATGATGAAGCGTGCTACACACTTTCTATACAACTAACTGAAAATCGTTCCTCATATAGCGTCACTGCGGTGCTCTGGCGACAGAGTTACGTAACCTGTCTGTGGTTTCGTTGGCGGGCGAGGGGAAGCAAGGCGACTTTACAGGCCACTTTAATCGCTCGGTATTAATTAACCACAAGTTTTAAAGAATAAATTTGGTGTTCCGCATAAGACTAACCACAAATCTTTCATATGTAATGGTTAAAGAGTAACAAAAACAAAGTTTAGTGGTTCTTTAAAGAATTAAACTTTTTCACAACTAAGGCCATAAAATCATACATTTTTCATGTGTTTATGAACATATAATTGCTGAATGTTTTTAAAAGCATTTTCACGGTATGTCATTCATTGCAAATATATTTGTCAAGTTTCTTTAGCTGTCCTGAGAACTAACAGGGTGGCGGTGTAGCCTTAATGGTTAAAGTGTTTTGCTTCTCTAGCGAAAGACCCAGTTCGATTCCCATGGATACAATATGTGAAGCCATTTCTGGTGTCCTCTGCTGTAAGTTTACTGGAGTAATATTGCTAAAAGCAGCATAGAACCATACTTTCACTCTCACTATGGTCAGAGAAATTGCTTCTTCAGAATTTCTTTTGGTTATACAAATTATTACTACAATGAGCCACAAAGAATAAACTGAAAGTATCACCAAAGCATGTATTATGATATCTTTACCTTCACAGTAGATTTCAATCTTAAATCCAAATAAATGAAAGCCATCTTTCAATCATTCTAATTTGAGTTTGGGCAAGTGGAAGTGTGGTAATTCTAAATGTATAAGCCTGATGTTTTTGTTTAAGTTGGTCCTGTACTTCAGAGCATGTGTGCATTCATCTACAATGCTGAAATGCTGAATGGTCCTCAGCAACCTTTGCTGTAACATCTCTATCTCTACCAATCCCTGCCGCCTGGCTTTCCCATCCCTCCCATACTGGCTTTCCCATCCCTCCCGCCTGGCTTTCCCATTTCCTCCCGCCCTGGCACCCATCCCTCCCGCCTGGCTTTCCCATCCTCCTCCCGCTTTCCCATCCCTCCCGCCTGGCTTTCCCATCCCTCCCACCTGGCACCCATCCCTCCCGCCTGGCTTTCCATCCCTGCCTGCCTGGCTTTCCCATCCCTCCCGCCTGGCTTACCCATCCTCCCGCCTGGCTTCCCATTCCTCCCCGCCCAAGCTTACCCATCCTCCCGCCTGGCACCCATCCCTCCCGCCTGGCTTTCCATCCCTCCCGCCCTGGCCTACCCATCCCTCCCGCCTGGCTTTCCCATTCCTCCTGCGCCTAGCTTACCCATCCCTCCCGCCTGGCTTCCATCCCTCCCGCCTGGCCTACCCATCCCTCCCGCCTGGCTTTCCCATTCCTCCCATACAAGCACCATCCCTCCCGCCTGGCTTTCCCATTCCTCCCGCCTGGCTTTCCCATCCCTCCCGCCTGGCTTTCCCATCCCTCCCGCCTGGCTTTCCCATCCCCTGGCTTTCCGATCCCCCGCCCTGCCTGGCTTTCCCATCCCTCCCCTCCTGGCTTTCCCATCCCTCCCTGCCTGGCTTTCCCATCTCAATGTACAAAATGATGGGGGATCAAATTTCACAGGGTACATTTTCAGGGGTCACAGGTAATGTAGGGGGAGTAACTCTCGTCATCTGTTTCATGTACACAAGTTCATGGTCAACATCACAAAATAGGGGCGAGAAGGAAAAGGTTTTCAGAGGAGGTCAGGAAAATCATTCTTGAGATTAATTTAGCTGGATTTATACAGGCTTACATTGAGGGGTCAAAGCACCATTTCCAAAGTTTTTAAAGAGAGTTGAAGTGGAGAATAATGAAGAGAACATGCCCATACATGGCAGCCATTTTATGACATACCGGTAATTATGGCACATTACTGTACATATGAATACCAACTAAATCACAATGTAATTTGCAATGTCAACAAAAACAGACTTACACACATTCATGAATTCAAATAAGTTCTTCAAATGTACGAAGCACTACATATCACAGAAAAGTTAAATATCACTGATTCAAATTTTAGATTAACAGATGAATATCCTGTGTTGCAGAAAACATTAAATTCACAACACTCAGCGACATAGGAATGTTTCAGTAATGGCATATCAAGCTAAACACAGCCAATATCGTCATACAATGTCAAGGTGGGCTTGTCTCCATAGAGCAATTATCAAATAATTCACTGATGTTGCTGGACAGTCATACCAGAGGCATCGTCAAAATCCAGTCATATGCACAAAATATCAGCATATGGACATCGTCATTAGTTTTAACCAACAAATCCAGCAATGTTGATTACTGTGTGGTTTAGCACCATGAATATGTTAGTAAACAACAATTGTCCATAACATGACTTCACCATCTACATCATCATCTCCATCATCTGTATGATCCACACAGAATTCATGTAGACCTCACTAGTTTATATACTGCCCGTTTCAATATCTGACTGACAACCATGTGTCAGTACTACCAACATTTCAGTCATATCTCTTAGTGTTGGGAATTGGTTAAAATCTCACATATTGATGATTGGCTCATTACAACCGGATCAATCATCGAAAATAATTGGTTAGCATCATTTATCAAAATCTCATGGTTATGTTTGTTAATGCAAAAATATATAGAAAAACATGTAATTTTTTTCCAGTTTTTGCAAATTGCCTAAAATGCATTACAAATTTCACATCTTAAAGGGTGACTAGTATGTTAGGAACATAAATTTGCAGGTAGGTCTTTAAGATAAATTCAATCATGACAAGGAGCGATCTTGTAGTGCTTATGAAATGTAACAGACAAAACCAACCTTGTGAAAAATATTGTTGATGAAAACAGGTGTTCCAAAATTGTTTGTGTTTGATTATGAAAAAACATGATCGATTGCAGTCGTGTAGTCGTTAGACCAATCTTAGGAATTATTTCAACTATTAGGACCACAGCTAATATCTATGCATGACACAAGAGCACAGCGTATCCCAACCTGTGAATGGCTAACAATGACTCAGTAGCTGTTCATCAGAACATCAGTCTGTGACAAAATGCTTAAAATTCAAAAAGAAATTGCTGACAGAACTGGGTCAAGGCTAATGAAAATCAACAGATGCAAGTGGAGTTTAAAATCACCTTGATAAATGAATATTGCAAGAAATAGCCAACGTTGCAGTGAGTTGTTGGTTCTTTTTGTAACTAGGATCACTCATTTCAGCCAGACTGAACAATGAAACAAGTTATTATTTGAGCTGCACTGAAAGTCACTGGCATTTAGATGGAGACAAGCCACTCTGCCAATGAAGGTCAAATAAAACAATCATGAATAATGCCCATATGGCTGACTTGACATTTGCTGGGTGGAAGAATCTGGACAGCAGTGTGATGGCAGCTTCCGTCTACACTGCTGTACTGGTTGTGCTGACTGTTGGAAGCGTCTGAAGGGAAGTCGACACGAGATCCGGATTTTCTCAACCTCGGGCATAGTTCCATCATAAACACTTCAATGATGTTCTGCAAACAGAACATACATAATAACCACCACACCTCAATCATTGCTGGTGTTCTTCAAACATTCGCTTCGCATTAACACCACAACTTCATCATTGCTGGTGTTCTGGATCCCAGGGTATGAGAATGATGTGATAGATTTCTGGTCCTGCATTGCATGGAACAATGAAAGAAGGCTTAATGACTAGGGGTGGGTATTACAAAGGAATTTTCATATTGCGATAAGTGCGATGCAAAGCATGTATTCGCGATATGTATTGCAATATATTGCAAGAGTTTTCTGTAACAAAAATGCATTATGTCGAGTTAATGCTTAATTTATAAAGTAAAAACACAACAAAAATCACAATGCTTGATTGAAGTTAATAAAAACTTTTAATCATGACAAAATAAAAAAATGTAAAATAATGTTTGCGACAATTGGAAACAAAGGAAAGGAACAATTTAAAAAGCGGAAATATCCGAAGATTTCCGAGTGTTACGAGTTTTCGAATGCATGTCAAAATACCGGTTTTCGATCAGCGTGTCATAATGCGATCGTTTTTTCATGTCTGAACGGTAAATCACCGGTAAACGGTTATATTAGCAACCCTATTAATGACTCACATAGAAGAGCTGCTTGTTGAGGCGGACATCCTGGAGAGCTTCAAACATCTTGATGGTGCCGTCTTGCATTGTCCTCACCCACCAGGTTCTTCCAGAGTCTGCCAACAATTTGTTCGAGGAAAACTTAGCAGAACACAAATTATCTTAGGCTATGGGAGTCATTGATTGGATATATTACTGGAATCATAAACTCAAGCATATCACCATCTATCATTATCATCCCAAACCAGCCCCAACTGGATACACCATATAGCTGGAATGTTGCTGAGTCTTGGTTAAACAAATACTATCATCAACTGGATACAAATATAAAGTTAAATATGAACTGTTTGATCTATTAAATGACTTTACCCAATAGTCTCCTTAACCATGATAAGCAACATCTGTAAACATTATTGTTGCAGAGAATCACTAATTTGGTATCAAGATTCATATAAGGGGTTATCACATGGATGTTTGGGCATAGAACATATTGCATTATTAGGAATAAGCTCTGTATTTAGTCCTGGCCAGGTAACCAGTGATATGAGCATGAGTACCAATCCACACCATCTTGGACCATGATATGACAAGCCAAGTCACATGACCACTTGACCACAAGCATTGCAAACTTGGACCATTAGTATTGTTGCACAACATGCACAGATTTTTGCATCCTTCCTCACCTGGGATGTTCTCCAGTATCTTCTGTTTGGCCTCTACCCGTGTTGTGAGTTTCTCGTCATCAGTACGTGGTGCAGAAGCCTCCGCAAGTTCTCCCTCTGGCCACATGGAGTCCTTGAACGTGTTCAAGTAGTAGATCACCATGGACTCGGAGAACACCCAGTCGACAGTCTCTCGCAGCTGCCTGCAACACACAGACCCTTGTCAGGATATATAAGAACATCTTCATGACTTCCACTTGTAAACATGTTTAGATTATATCCTTCATATAATCAAACTAAGCAAAACAAAACAAAATAACTACAAGGCTACTCTATATTTCACCTCATGTCAGCTGAGCATTTAAGTTTTTACTCCCAGCTTGTGACTCATATATCTTTAATAGAAAAGGGTGGTGGGTGGCCCAGTGGTAAAAGTGTTTGTCATCACTCCAAAGTCCTGGGTAAGATTTCTCAAATGGGTATACTGTATGAAGTCCATTTCTTGTAATCCTTCACCATCACATTGCAGGAATATAATAAATATGATAAAACAGCATAAAACCGCATTCACTCACATGCTACCATTAATAAAGAGAATCCCATGAACCAAGGCTGGAATATCAACTCAAGGTGGTCTTAGAATATGTTCCGTGTTTTTACTACTGTTAATGGATCTACCAAAGATATTTTCACTAAATGAAATGAAGGACTTCCTCAGCCATTTGAGCGTCCCCTCAGCTCAAACACCTCATTCATGGAGGAGGTAGATAGGCTTGGCGATAGAGTCCGGCGACCGTGGTCCTCTTTGGTGCTGCAAAAGCAGAAACACTCCAACATGTCAGTTACCACACAACTTGAATTAACAGTTTGGAACAGTCAATTGTTGATATTTTTATGGGTGGTGCAGTACTAAGTTATACAGATCAGAAATTTACCAGTGTGTGCTGGAAACTGCAAAAGGTTAGGGAAAGGTGCTGACAAAGGAAGTTATCAGGAGAAATCTGGGTTTCACACCTATGATCATCAGATCCAGGAATGGACAAGGGATACAACTCTGCACATTTTTTAAGAGAAAGAATTGTTAAAGAAATGGAAATATCTGGCAAACTAACAGGACACTGTCAAAAACGTTCAGACAACTAGCCCAACATAGCGCTTAGCATAATTTTCAGTAGAATTTGGTGGGGGTTTTTGGAAAATAATTTTCAGCTGAGATTACTAGACTGAACAGAAGTTTCATAGACTCTAGTTTCAGATGCAAGACACAAGCAGAAAAAGGGAGATAACACTGCTGAAAAAGTCAATGAGATTATGTATTTCAGCATCCAGGATGTTCAGAAGATCACTTGCTTCTCTGCAGATTTGCAATATTTAAAATTAGTGTGTGAATAAACTGCTCTACTTTGTGGAATAGATACCTCTCATCCCGAAACAGAAACTCATCATCACTACTGTGGGCATCTGATGACGGATGTTTGGCAGGCTGGAAGTAGAAGCATTGTGTCAGTGATATCAAAAGAAAGCATCATGTATAAACATACAAATAAACACATCAATGTGAGACAAACTAATATCATTACAGAAAATGAGTGAGTGAGAAATCATTTTTACACCACTTTTAGCAATATTCCAGCAATATCACGTCGGGGACACCAGAAATGGGCAAGCTTATTGTACTCATGTGGGTAATTGAACCCAGGTCTTCAGCGGCGAGCAGGCGCTTTAACCACTAGGCTACCCCATCGCCTCCATTATAGAACAATGAACAATTTCAAATGAATGCATTTGTAATAATTGTTGGCAAAGTATTAACATCATCCATTCATGACAGTTTTAGGAATTACTTCAAGGTGAAGGATGTATGATGGTTTTAGCTACATTACTTCAAATACACAGATTGAAAGTCACTTTGGTTACAATATCAATCCACAAAATAACAATCTAAGACCTTTAATGATAAATTATACATATGAGACCTTTTAATAAGATTGGCTAGCTTGAACTTGCTCTTCTTCTGTGTGGAGGGTATGAGCAGACACTCGGGTGAAGGAGTGAGGAAGGCGTACAGAGCCTCGCTCTGGGTCATCGCTCATCCTTCATCACTTCCTGTAAGCAGGGGAGATAACTGTTGCAGACATTGGAGTTTAATATTTCAACAGCATTTGTATAAGTATAAACAGTGTATGATATAAGCCAAAAATCCAGCCAGACATCAGGGCTGGTAACTTCAAAATGTTACCAGGTCAAAATGGATTTAACCAGACCATATATGGTGAATTTACTCAGATGTATGGAACATCTAAAAAATTTTACCAGACAATTGGGCTGGCGAGCTGTAAATTAAGACCGTCCGTCAGAAATCGGACAGGGCGGTCGGACAGGCCTTATTTCCTACACTGGTATAAACAGTCTTTAAACAAAGTCTAAGTATCAGTTGAATCACTTCAACAGTTTTCAATTTAAGTTCACCATCCAACAATTATCAACTGAAGTTCATCCTCCAATAGTTTGATTGTCCTACGACAGATAATCAAGCTGATGTCATAATTGTTTATTATCGTTCGTATTCATACGCAGGAATGCGTCTTTTTAGAGAAGAGACACAATGATGTACACATTCTATTTATGGATGTAACTTTGAATGTGCATGATTCAATAGAAACAAGCTCTCATGTCTCCTCACGTTTCGTACACAAAATCAAAAACAACCATCAAGTATCTGTGCATGTGCATTTTGGCTGGACATTGGTTTACCAGGTACTTTGAATAGGACTTTGTTTTAAGTTGGATATGGTCCTCAAAAGGCACAAATATTTGGTTCCTGGCCAATAGACATTCTGTCAGCATCATTATGAGATAACCAGAATTGATCAGAAGAGCTATTTGTACTCACGACGAGATACTCATTAAGACTTTTTTTGGCCTTCTCCCGGAATGCATCATCAATAGATTTGAAGAAGGTCATCCCTACGCTGGGCAGCTCCTTCTTCTTCAGCCATGGCCCAATCTGGGGACGATAATGACAAGAACAGCTAACATGAGTTCTCTTGTGTTCTGTCTATTATAGATCATAGTTTTCACTGTAATAACTACAGTCTCAAATTATACCTTGTGGATTGGTGGTTAGGGGTGGAAGTACATACAGTAGGGCTTCGGTTTGTGATAGTGTTTAAAAACAAGTATAAGGGTTGAGTAAAGGCAAGAGAAGTATCTACTAAGTTGAGGATTAAAGACTTTCCTTATTATTGTCTGATGTACGTAAATATTTTTCAGTGTCAAAATATGTAATTTTCTGAATAAAATTGATATTTTATACTTATCCTGACTCATGCTACTTGCTTGTCTTCTTCTTCTTGCGAACACAGTGGAACACTTGTATCTCCCAATTGAAGTTCCCTTCAATGTAAAATCACTAATTAGTACTCACCACGAGTTATCTGTCCCCTCAAAAGCGCGGGAACGAGGGCGCCACCTCCTGCCATGTGCCTCACTCTCTCCTTATATAGCGAGCCCAACACTTGAATTTTCAGGGAAATCCAAAGTGTTATGTGGGGAGGATGGGAGGGCTTACCTCATGAGTCAGGATAAGTATAAAATATCAATTTTATTCAGAAAATTACATATTTTTCCTTATCCTGACTCATGCTATTTGCTTGTAGAATCCTACGGATACGGAGGTGGGAATACAGAATACTTTGGATTTAGATAATTAGTGATTTTGTACTGTAATGACTGTAATAACCCTTATGGGAACTTCATAAAGGCACTGAATTGATGAATTCCTGCTGTTAACTTATCAGCTGCCATATATGGGTTATTACAATATACATATTATGATAAAATAAAAGTATATACAACATGACAATACTATGCTTAAGACTAAAACTTTTAGACTTAAGCTTGACAACTTATGATAGCATAAACTTCATAGAGTTTGTTAGCTAATATACTGTTATATATAACAACCATAGTACTGAGCTTAAGATTATGATTAAACTTAAGCTAAATATATAATAGCAAAAACTCCGTAGAGTTTGTTAGCTAATATACTGTTATGATATAACAACCATAGTACTGTGCTTAAGATAAGTAGTAAAATCTGTAAGATTGACTTATCTTCTCCGAGGAACTGTCAACTGTTGTGCGAGGACCATGGGACCGAAATGGTGAATACCTGAGACGTCCTCGGTGGTGATATCTCTCAGATAATGGTTGGCAAACACCATATCAGATCTCCAAAAACAGCCCTCCATTATGGTATTCAAAGAGCAGTTGCCGTGAAGAGCAAGTGTAGATGCTAGCGCTCTAATTTCATGTGGATTAGATGCTCTTGGAGGGTCGAGTCCTGCAGCCTTGTAGGCACGTAGTATGACAGTTCTGATCCAAATGGAGATAGTAGTACGTGAGACTTCAGTCTGCGTAGCTGTTGATAGAGGAATAAATAATCTCTTGAATTTTTGTCTCCTCTGTTTGGATCGGTGGAGATATATTTTCAGTGCTCTTACTGGGCATAGTGATAGATCCATCGTATCATGAGGTCCAAGTATAGATGAGAGAGCTGGGACGTGGAATAACCTGTCTGGTTGGCCTGGTAACTGGTTCTTGGCGATGAAATCCAAACGTAGTCCCATATGCACGATGTTATGAACGTCATCAAAGCGTGTTCTCTCGTAATCCAGTGCGTGAATCTCTGACATCCTGGCAGCCGTAGCTAGAGATAACAGGAACAAAGTTTTTCTGAGTCAGAAATTTGAACGATGTTGATTCTAATGGTTCATATGCCTCACTTGTGAGGTGTCGAAGCACTATATTTAGATCCCAAGCTGGAGCGTGAAATCTGCGTTTCTGATCCTCCAATCGGAATGCTCGTAGTAAGGCGAGTAACTCTGGGGTCTTGGTTAGCTTGACACCCGTTCTCATAGTTATGACAGAGCTTATTGCTGCAAGATAAGTGGATAAGGTTCAGCCTTTTAGATTTTTAGTCTGACGTAGATAACATAAGTAGTCAGCCACTTGAGGATGAGTAGCATATCTAGCTGTAAATCCTTTCTTTGCAGCATAATTGACAAAACTGTGCCATTTGTCATTGTATAAGTTGCGAGTGGAGTTACGCAAGGCAAGCGTGACTGCTTTTGCCGCTCTGGCTGAATAACCTCTCTTATTTAGACACGCCTTAATACAGTCCATACGTGAAGTTGGAATGTTTCTGGCTTTCCGTGCGCTTGTTTGGTGTGCGGATGTATTAACATATTCGGGCACTTTGGAAGTTGTAGTATTGGTTGTCCGATTTCTTGAATAAGAGTTGGAAACCACGTTCTCGCTGGCCAGTAGGGCGCGACCAAAATCATTTGGAGGCTCTGAGTTTGTTTGATTTTGAGTAACACTTGTGGGATTAACGCTGGTGGCGGGAACGCGTACGCGTTGAGTCCTTCCCACGATATGCTTAGTGCGTCCGTTGCCCATGCTAGTGGGTCTGGAACTGGCGATACGAATGTTGTCAGTTGATTGTTGAAGCGAGTGGCAAATAGGTCTATTAGTGGAGTTCCTATTTCCTTGATAATTTGTGCGAATATCTCTGTATGGAGCATCCATTCTGTCGGCGATGGTAGGTGTGGCCGAGAGAGAGCGTCTGCTATTACATTCTTTGCTCCTGGAATGTGACATGCTCTGACATGTATGTTGAGATTGTCGATTAAATCGAACAATTGAAAACATAGAGTCAATAGGTTCGGGGACCTTGTTGAGCCTTGTTTGTTCACATAAAACGCCACTGTCGAATTGTCTGTGTGAATCATCAACTGAGCATTCTTCAGTAAGTTGCTCCAGTGCATTATGGCGTTTACAACTGCTTGCATCTCTAGCAGATTTATGTGTAATTTGCTCTCTTGTTGGCTCCATAACCCTGATACCGTCCTGTTGGCGAGATGGGCTCCCAAACCTTGTAGTGACGCGTCTACGTAGAGATGTGTTTTCAATTCCGGCTCTATTAAGGGAGACGCCTTCGCAACATTCGATCTCTTGGTCCACCATAGTAGGTGAGGTTTGACGTGATCCGGTAGACTGAACGGTAGAGGGTCGTCGAGATGCGAATTGATGAGGACTTGCAACGGGCGTAATTGTAGTCTGCCTCTGACTGTCATGTCTTGAGCTGATGTGAGTAATCCCAATAGGCTCTGCCACTGTCGTAGTGGTAGCGGAGAGAGTAAGGCTTGTGGGATTGACTGTTGGATCTTGATCCATCGGTCCTCCGGTACAACTATAGGATTCTGTGCTGTTAGAAATCGTATACCTAGAAATTGCAGATCTTGCGTTGGCTCTAGGTCTGACTTGAGTAGATTTACTAACCATCCTAGTTGAGTTAGTAGTTTGATTATAAAGTTCAGCTGTAGTCTGAGACGCTGTGGATCTGGATCCACTTGTATCCCGTCGTCTAGGTAAAACGCGCTGCGAAGACCTTGACGATGTAGGTATGAGATGATAGGTTTCGTCACTCTTGTGAATAACCAGGGGGCCGATGAGATTCCAAAAGGAAGCACTTTCCATTGGTAATGAATTCCGTCTAGGATAAATCTGAGATATTTCCTTGAATCTGGATGAATCGGAATGTGTAGATATGCGTCTTGCAGATCTATGCTGGCCATGTAGTCTCTGGGACGAATTAAGTGCCGTAGTTGCGGTAGGTGTATCATGCGAAACGCTGGCGGTTTGCTTAGATAGTCTCTGTTGAAGATGCTCATATTGTATATGAGACGAAACTTTTTCCCTGGAATTTTTCTTGGGCACTAGGAAAACTGGGGAGTAGAAACCTGGTTCGATGTTTACTTGATCCAGAACTTCTAAGGCCTGCTTGGTTAAAAGTGTTGATACTGCTTCTCTTAACTTTGGTAGTTGTAAGGGATGGAAGTCGAACCTTGGAGGGATGACTGTCAGCGGAGGCCTGGCCTTTAGTTGTATTTGATATCCGTGCTGTAGGATGTTGGATACATATGGATCTTGTAGGAATCCCCAGTTTTCCCAGTGCAGATGAAGGCGTCCACCCACTTGAGATGGTTGTACTGGAACGGCTGGGGGTGGAAGACTCCAGTCGTTCCGAACCTGTCCTTCATCGTTTATAAGTGCGGGAACCTCTGGATGACCTGCCTCTTGCTGATCCTCCTCTGAAATTGCTGTATGGGCGACGAAAAGACTCCTTAGAACCTTTTGCTGTAGCCAATTTCTTGTCCCGTGCTTTCTGTAGTCCAGAGAATTTTGACTTGCCAGAGTATCTCATAGATGTTTGCTTAATGACATTAGCTAACATATCCATGGACTTAATCATAAGTACCTCTCTAGAGTCCTTAGACACTTCTTTGGAGACATTGTCTATGTTACCACCAAAGAGATATGGAGATGACCACGGGGCAACATAGAGGGATTCAGTAAATTCGAACTAACCTGTAGAGGTTTAAGATTCTTTGAATATATTCCTCCTTGGGGTACTTATAAGCATTTAAATGTCCATTTAAATTCCCTACGACAGTTGTAACAATATTTGAATAAAATATTTACAAAACAAAAACTACGTTTTGTCTTGTGAGACCACCCTTACAGGGCCTTCCGGCCCCCTACAGCCAAGAGCAGGTAACTCTAGACCGTAACCTCGTACCTCACTTTCCATGCTGAACGAAGTCAGACAGAATGCGGGGAGGTGGGCGGGCGTACCCCAAGGAGGAATATATTCAAAGAATCTTAAACCTCTACAGGTTAGTTCGATTCTTTTTTATATATTCCTCCTTGGGGTAGTTATAAGCAGCATAAGACAGACTCCTAAAGACGGATCTCAGGAGCGGCATTCTGTCTGCTTAAACACCCCCGACAAGAAGTGGAATTTCCCAAGCTAATTATAGCAGAAAAGGCACACTTACCCGGTCACGTGTCCACCAAAGCCAATCAGGCGGGGGCATGAGCCAGGGTCAGGGTTAAACGTATGCAAATTTGTCCAGCGAAACCTCGCTAATGCAACGAACG